GATATCGAAATGCAAAGCAGTGTTTGTGAAGGTAAAACTTTCTCGTAATTTCTATTTAGATGAGAAAATTTACGAATATTTTTCTTCATTAGGCACCACTTCGCCGGAAGAAGTTCAAAGACAATTGGCCGGTTGTACCTTTGCCTCCTGAACCGATAATAACTCGGTGGACTACGTGGCTGAAGGCGGCGTTCTACTACTGCGAACATTTTGAAGCTGTTAAATCGGTTATTGATACATTTGACAACAACGATGCCGAATCCATAGGAATCGCTAAGGAGCTGCTTGCCGATCAGCAAATAAAGGTCGATTTGGCATATATCAAAACTAGTTTTGCTAGTTTGGTACCAGCAACAGTTGAGCTCGAGACACAAGGATTGGAATTGAGCAGAAGTGTCGAAATTATTACATCCATTCGTACTTCATTAACTTCTTTACGACAAAAGAAATTCAGCCAAAAGATGAAAGCAGTGCTCAAAAATAATCCTGGGTTCAATACTGTTGTCGATATAAACAATGCTTTGAATGAACGATTACAACCAACGCATGAATTTGTTTTGAATCTTTCGCCTATCGAGCTGGCTTCTTACAAGTTTTGCCCCACAACATCATCTGATGTTGAACGATCTTTTTCAATGTACAAGGGTGTTCTGACAGAAAAGCGTAGATCTTTCTTGTTCGAAAACTTGAAACAGCATTGTATTGTACTTTGCAACCGTGAAAAATAATATCATTTGTTCTGAAACCCTTGAAAATGTATGTGTTTTTTTGTATTTTTAGTTTTTTTTTCGAGACTTTTTTGCATATAAGAGCCTATTTTCAGAACTATTTTCGCAATTTTTCAGGACTTTTTAGGCGCCTAAACTCGACTTTTTGCGAGACTTTTTTATCCGCTCTGCTCATCACACATGTGTAATGATTAAATTGCGCCATTTTTGACGTTTCAATCTTGTGTTTGTGGTTTTTCGGTTGGTTAGAGTGCGTCTAAAGTGTGGGTGTGTATGTGTGCATCGTGGTTCACAAATTTCGACGATGTTCCAGAACATCGAAACATTTGAATGAGACAACGTTCGAAAGGGTTGAACGATAATGAAAAAAAAACGGTATGATTGCAAGAGACGAACGGACATAAATTGAAAACCATTTAATGAGAAAACGAATTGAGATGGAGTTTGAGAGTAACAAATCATCGAGTACGTTAAATTGGATGTTTGGTTTATTTGATCAAATCAACTTTATGTGTATGATTTGAAAAGTTAGAAATATTGTCGCTGACCTGGAACATCCAAACACATGGTGGCGTTCTGGTGCTACAAAATTCCATCTATTTTATCAACAATGTTTTTGTATAAAAATTCGTATATTTATTCAAGTAAAATTCTCAGTTTCAACGAAGAACCAACTAATGATGAAAAAATAATTCCAATGAAAAAGAAATTAAACTTATACTTTCGAACGTGAAATCTAATCATTCTCATTCAAGTAATAAAAAAAAGTCTCTTTCGTATTCCCGGAAAAAAAATTTCTCGCTGAATGAGTCTCCAAATATTGAGAACCCAATGTAAGATTGGTCAAAGTTAAATGAGCCAAATGCTCCGGCATTAATATGACATCCATGAGAGTGTTAACGTTTCTGATTTTGGTCTTTGAGTCAAATCAGATGGATCTATTTTTAATTTTTATTTATTACAATTACTTTTGCTTATGATTAAAAACACCAATTATTACAAAATCATAGAAATGAAGTATTGCGTGTTACTATCAATAAGTTCTTTTGAACCTTAAGCCGTAGATCATTCCTCTTGCCACTTTGTCTTCGTCAACAGTTGGATCTCCATGAAATTGCACGGTGATGTTTGATTCCATTTCCACTTCAGACTTTAGCAATGCTCCAGAGCAACAACCTTCGGAAGGTGATTGATTCAGTCGAATTTCATACATAAATCCAGGTCTTACCAGAACGGGTTTGGGTAATACTACGAAAGTTACCGACTTGCTTTTAAGTGTGTTACTCTCGTTGTAAAGAATAATTTCTTTACCGGATTTGGCTAAATAAAGATCTTCGACAATTGTAATCACAGTTGGTAGGTCTTCTATATAGTTGTAACTAATTTTGTTATATTTACATATTGGAGAACATGCGAGTTTCGTTAGTAACAGTGGTGTATTGGTTGAAAATCTCGTCTTTTCAACACTTTTAATGATATATGGTTTAAATGAACTGTTTTTTGATACGAGACGATCACAAACTAGCATATCCTCATTATTGGAATCAAAACTTTTGAATGGCATTCTAGGTTTTTTGCTAAATATATTTGGTTGATATTCCTGGAAGGCGATTGTTTGCGTGATATCACCGTACTCATCATTTGAAAGTAGACATCCGTATGAAGGAACAAGTGTGGCGAACCCTTGTAGTGTCATCGATTTGAAACGAATTTCATAGAATAGCTCGCCAAGGGTAGCTTGTATCACTTCCCTTGTTAATCGAACTACATTTGCGGTTGTTTTGACCCAATTCATGCACGCCTCGAATACTTCACTTTCTGAACAGGACAATGAATCCAGCTTTAAAATGTGACCCAGCATTTTCGAGTCACATTTAAAAAAATTGTCCGATGCCAGCACTGCCGATGCATTGATTTCGATGAACATTTCACAATATTTCTTCAGCTTTGTTTGATCATAAACTATTGCGAGCTCATATGCCCAGCACACATTGTTCTCATCCAGTGTGTTTATGATGAATCTCTCACAAACACTCAAGCACTGGGCGATGTTGTATTTATTTCCGAGGTACATGACTCTGGCAACGTTGCTCATTGAAACTTTCACTTGTTGCAAATAGAAGAATTGAAGAAATTCCTTGAACTCATCGACTGAGGCATCGACAATCTCAACCTCATCGTTTTCATCCCACGTTCCATTGAACATCGTACGAAATACATCACTAGCGGTGATCAAAAATATCTTATGTGCGGGTATACGTTCGTATTCACCATTGACTATCTCAAATTTGAAGTGAAAATCGGCCATCTCCTCACTCAAGTACAAATTTTCTCCGATTTTGATGATAACATCACTTTGATCGTTATGAACCAATGGTACGGCAGATGCCATCTCGACCTTTGACCTGTGATGAACTGAGTTGAGTTGAACTATGTACTTTTAGTGTCAAGTTTAATTTTTTCGATCGTTTTAGAAACAAAGTACTGCTGTATACAATGTTAAACTGTGGAACTTAAATTAAAAAAAACTATTTTGAATGGTTTTTAATCTATAATTATACACCAGAGAAATATATGCTTCAAATTATTATGATATTTGGTTATGGGATGATTCCGGAATGTAGGCACAACAATTGATAACGACTGAATGATCTGAGTGTGGCCGGTTATATGGTTCGCATGTACATACAGATTAGAGTGGTCAAATTAAGGACTTTTTGACTGTCAAACGTCAAAATGTGGTGCGTTCTCATTGGCAGTTGATGTATTTCAAATGTGACATCGTACCCGCATTTATCGTTTTCAACAGCTATTTTTATGAAAAAAATATTCGGAAACTTTATTTTCATACAATTAATGATTATGAAATCAATGAAGAGGCAATAATTGTAACAATAATAAAGATAATTTTCAACTTAAAAGTTATATTGGTTATATTGATTTCATCGACTTCGGGAAAAATTTGAATTTCATCGTTAGCACATATTTAAAACGCCAACTTCATCTCGAAAACCCTGTAAACAGAAATCTATTTTCTGTTTGTCAAAGAAACGAGAACTGACAGTAAAAATGTTAATTTTTCTTACAGCTCAAGCAATGAACCTGCTTAGTGTGATAAAGTCGTTAAATTCGATGGAATCGAAGAAATCAATGCAACCATACGAAGCATCTTCGTCAGATTCACGTCAACTATTCAAATTAATTGGGTGTTTTGATAAAATTTCCGACTTTATCACTTGAAGAGTTGAACAGTTCTGGACCAATATGCGATAGTAATACGATGAGTTACGACGATAAATGTATTTAAGTTGTTCTCGTAATTTGGATAAGGAAAACATTTGAATTTACAATCGTAACCATTCATATGTACATCAACCCAAATGTGTATGATAGTCCTACATTATACACATCATCCTGACTAACCGTTGTCTTTAGCTCGTTTGGTTGTCTGCTTCAGATCGGGTTTTTTAGCCATAGCTTTGCAAGTGTTTTGTTATTCCAATGCCTATTAATTCTTTCTCTTGGTTTCTATCGACCGTTCATCAACGTTGGTAAATCAAAAGAAATGAAAAAAATGCAACTTTGTCTTTCCTCAATTCATATATTCATGTCGTCACGTAGATAAATGCAAACGGGCACAATCGTAAATAAATAATATTTTATAAACATGTAACTGAAACAGAAACTGAATTAAAACATTACAGAGACGGATACGAAATGCAAGTGTATATGGTAAAAAGTAAATAAACTGACGTTTAGTGTTGCCACACGCGTTAAACACGCACATCCACATCCATAGTCTCGACAATAAAAATGAAAACGAAGGGGAAAATGTGGGAAAACTGGAGAAAGCTCATTCATGTTGACGCCTTAGGAATGTCATGAAAAATGTGACACTTTCATTATTCAGGCGTAGTAAGAATTGTTTTCACGCAAATTGCGAGAGATTTGTTTCACAATAATTTGACAATATTTTCAATAGATAAATTTGAATGAATTGAAAGTAGCTTAAAAGAATGTAAAAAGCATTTTTTATTTGAAATATAGTAGAATAGGTTGAAAACAATTGGATCGAAGCTTTTTTAAGCAGTTTTTTAAGCAGCAAACATTTACATTGGTTGGCAGAAATAGCGTAGTAGCTAGCGCAAAAAGGTCAACATGTTATTTGGTAGTTTTTCAATAACCAAAAAAGATTTTCAAAGCGAGCCAAGAGAGCGAAGTGAACCAAAAGAGCATTGGAGAGCCTGGGATGAATACTACAGGATGGACCTTTATCGGCATCGCTATCGTAAATCCAAGTAAATTGGTTCATAACATTCTTTAATTTATCTGAAATTTATTCAACCTTCTGTGACAACAAAACAAAGGACTTCAAAAGAAACAATGTAATAATCAAATTGTATTGGTATAGGTTTCCGTTACAAAAACATCGTCGGAAAGTTGTAACACGAACACAATCAGAGACAGATATTAATGCCGACATTTCGGAATGTGAACAAACCGAAAATCCTCCAAAAGTCAGTTCGAAACTAGAAACTTTCACTAAAATGCTATTCAATCGCTCAAGTTCGCTACAACACAGTCCAAAAAAGGTGACCAGCTCATCGTCAACCACGTGGATGGAAAATTTATGGTATAACAAATTATAAATGTGAAAAGTTCTGTGCTTTATAACTGTACAATATACATTTCACATTTCAATGCCGTCAATGTCAATGTGCTTTGAATAATTTTGTGCGAAATTTTTTGTAGGACAAACATGAAATTTCAGAGATCTGCCGAGCCCACACCGCCAGAACGAGCGTTGCGTGAACGAGCATACATTTCGAGCCAAGAATGGGTAGAGAAATCGGATGGCCGTTACAAGATCATGGCCCATTTGGATACTATCGGCTTTAGAGAGGATAAAAACTGGTTCTTGCTGAACGATACAACAGTCCGAACGAATCGTCTGATGACGTGGATTCCATTACCAGCCGATTGTGTTGCCCTGGAAGAACTAGCCCCTTTCAATTCACCAAAAGGAATACTGATGGAATTGCTCGCTTCATTGCAACATCCATACATTTATCCAGTGCTAGATCTGGGCATTTTCAATTCGAACCAAACGAATTTCGCGTGTCTCGTTATGCCGATCAATGAGCGTGGCAGCCTCAAAGATTATATTTACAAAGTAAGCTATAGTTCATCATAATAATTTAATATCGATGCGTGTATTCATTTTGTTGGATAATCTCCCGTTTTTTGAATTCATTCGCGAACAATTACGCATGTGGTCCTAGGCGATACGGTGGAATGAGCCATGGAGACGTAAATACGCAAAAAAGTCAATTTGTTTGACATTGGCACAGGTGCAACGGTTTGGTCGACATATTTTGGAAGCGTTGCTATTTCTGCGCGAACGAGGCATTCCATCACATGGCCACTTGCATAGCGGCAATGTCATACTACAAAATGGTGTTGCCAGGTAATTGTTTTTGGATTTATTTATGTCACCTGATTTGACACTCGTCGAAAATACTTTAGGTTATCGGGATTGGAAAATGGTTTGCTCGGCCTAGACTCGAAAGTGAATGCGATTGATTCGGCAAAGAATATTGCTGATGTTGAACACAGGGATGTTATTTGCTTCGGCCATTTACTCTTTGAAATGTGCACGGGATTTGAATTGCTAACACCGCGCCCAACCGCTGACAACTTGTTCTTAGACTTGGAACGATATCCAAAGGTGGTCAAAGTGCTGCAATGGATTTTTGAATCTCCCGGTGATCGATATCCAACTGTTGCGGAACTTGTGCGATGTGATTTATTCCGACACGTCGAATTACGTGAAATGAGGGGAGCATCAATTTCGGTGAGGTTATTTTCATTCA